GTGAGAAGGTGGGCTACGCCCACTCGCAACTAAGGTTGAACACGGTACCTTGAGCTGAGTGGCTAAGAGCTGCCAACAGGCGGCTGGATGGCGACTGGACTTGGAGCTGAGCTAGCTGCGCCCTCCACAACTAAGACAGAAGGACAACAACTTGCTGTTCCCCTTCCCCAATTCCCCAACAAAACCTTAAAAAAAAAAGAGCTAGTAAGAGCCAGACCTGACATTGCTTTCAGGAAATGGTGTGTAATCCAGTGTGGCTGGAACATGATGAGGGTTGGAGGGCGATGGGAAATGTAGTGGAAAGGTTTTGGGGAGGATTCAGGATAGGCTGGGTCTTGTGGGCCTGGCAAGGGTCGAGGGGGGTTTAAACAGGGGCATGATGGGATCACATTGCTTTAAGGGTTCCTTTGCTTGAATGGGGGCACCAGGCCCTGAAACTGAGAGCACTGGAGGAGCTGGTTAGGGCAGAAGATGAGATGTTTGGTTTTGAACCCAGTGTGCTTGATAAGTCTGGGGAAGACTCAGGGTGGGAGCTCTGGGCTGGAGACACAATTGGGATAGAAGACCCAGGGTCTTGCCTCTTGTAGCTCCAACTCATGGGAGTGTCCTCACTCCTGTCTCCGGCCTGGCTCTAGGCCACCTCTGGAAGCCACATCCCCTCTCTGGGACTCAAGTCTCCTCAATTGTAATGGGGTATTAGGCCTTGACTCCCTCGCCCTGCCTGGGTGTTGTGAAAATCTCAGGGGATTGGGATGGGGGTGGGGAGTGGGGGTTTGGGAGGCCGTTCCTGTCTTGTCCTTTGCCCACTGGAGGATGCCAGGGAACTCTTGGAGAGAGGGGTGGCTGGCTGGGGTCCTCAGATTCCTGCAACCCTGCCAGGTCACAGGAGCTAATCTCAGGTCTATGAGCTTGAGAAAAGGGCTGCCATGCTCACCTCCCTCAATCACCTCCCCTTCTCCCCTCAATCCCCTCTCCAGGATGGCCAGCCTCCTCTCCTCAGGTGCTAAGCCCTCCAGCCCCCTTTCCACTCCTCTAGCACTTCCTAGGATGCTGCCCAATTGTGCTGGCAGATCGACAGCTTCCTCTCTATGTGCCCTGACTTCCTTACCTCCCTGCCCCTCCCTCCCACTTAAGCCCACTCTCAGGGGGCTTATCTAAGGAAGCTGTTTAATAATGAGACTGCAGGGATTGCTGGGCATGTGTGAGGGGGTGGGACAACGTATTCCAGTGGTGGGAGGTGGGAGCTGGGGCTCAGGACTCTGAGCACTCTGGTTTCTGTCCTAGCTCAGCCTCTCCCAGCTGGGTAAGCCTGGGCACTTCATCTTTTTTGTACTTCTGTTTCCCCTTCTATGAAAGAAGTACAAGAATAACACCTATCTCACTGGGCTATTGTAAGAATCAAGTAAATTAGAATACATAAAGCATGGAGAAAAGTGCCTAGTGTACAGCAAGTGCTGAATAAATGTTACTAGTATCTTTGCACTTATTAACGTGCTTTCCTCCAGCAGCACTTGCAGTTTATGAAAGGCCTTTCTCCTGCATCCATCAGTGACTCCGCATCACCTACAACAGAGGACCCTACCTCGTGTGCTGCTGTCAGGAATGGGCTACAGATGGGCTGAGATGGTGACCCCCTCCGTTCTGGGGACAGCCTGGCATCCCCTGCTGGTCACCTCTGGCCATTCCATTTACTTGAGTGTCCCATGCACAATCTGAACTTCCAAGCGTGACAGTCAAGGCCTTTCATAACCTGGCTAGCATGCTTCTCGCCACCTGGACAGCCCAGCACACCCTGGCTCACCAATGCTCAGGCTTTCTCACACCTGGTGCCTCTGTGCATGCTGTTCCCTCTGTCTGGAGCACCTCCCCTGTCCCTGTTCTCGACTGGGACATCGCTTGTCCAGGGAGCCTCTCCAGATGGCTCAGGCAGACACGCCTGTCCTCCTCTTCACTCCCCACACACTTTGCACATCCTTCACTAACCATAAATATCCAGGCTGCTGCTCACCCATTCAGTGCCTTTGGGCAAAGTAGAAAAAGGTGCTCTATCTCAGAATGCTTTCTTCCATCTGCCAGAAAACGCTTGGGATTGATGTGCCAACCCCTAACATCTACAATGTGAAGGGTGTCAGTCCTGGAGGAGCCCACTTTGGGACTATTTCCATGTGCCAGGCACTGTGCCAGATGCCTTGTCAAATACTGTTCACAAAGCCCACGAGGGAAATGATTCCTTTCAAAGGCAAGGAAAGTGAGGCTCACAGGCTAAGACAAGGTCATGTGATCAGTAAGTGGCAGAGCCAGGGTTTGAACTCCAAAGCACCTATGGAGGTAATCGCCTCTATCAAGTCATTGTTATCCAAGTTGCTACTTACACATCTGTCTGAGACCTTAGTGTGAGCTCCTCCAAGCAGGGCCCAATTTTCACCTACTCCCAAAGCTCTGGAAACGTGTAGAATGGGCAGTACCACGTGTGTGTCGATGGAAGGAGCCTCTTTGCAGGACATTGGGGTCCCGGGGCTGAAACCTGTTTCTCTAGGCCAGCGGTTCTCAACCTGTGGGTCGCGACCCCTTTGGGGGTCAAACGACCCTTTCACAGGGGTCGCCTAAGACCATCGGAAAACAAAAAGATATTTACATTACGATTCATAACAGTAGCAAAATTACAGTTATAGAGTAGCAACGAAAATAATTTTATGGTTGGGGGTCACCACAACATGAGGAACTGTACTAAGGGGTCGCAGCATTAGGAAGGTTGAGAACCGCTGCTCTAGGCTGTGGTTAGAGCTGGAGATGTTTGAACCAAGGCATCCAAGAGGCTCCTGCTCAGCCACTGAAGGCCAATATTTAATTTGGTGCCTACTTAGGGTCTGCCCTTACTCCTATGTCAAACAGAGAAACCGTCTCCCAGCGCCTGATGGTTGCAGTTAGGCCCTGAATCCAGATTTTTCCGAGTCCAGAGTTGTGCTCTTTGCTGAAGTGGGGCAAGGTTGATAAAGGAGAGCCCACCTGCCTGAGGGTCAGTGAAGGCAAGAGGCCTGTCAAGGTAAATCTTAAAGGCAGGTCTGAGTTTTCCAGGAGGGCCCAGAGCAAGGTGAAGGATGTTCCTGGCAAAGGCATGACCAGAGGCTAGGGCTAGAGAGAGGAAGAGGGGGGCCACAACATCCTTGTCTTTGGGTAGATGACTTCGAGTCTAGTACAATTCTTTACTGCTGCTTAATGTCAGAAACCTAATTATGCCTTTACATGTCTCTAATTATTGTCTTTTTTGCTTTTCCAGAGCTCTACTGATAAAAAGTGGGGTTCTGTAAAAACAGCCTCCTTTCAGTCCAGGGAGTGTCATACAACCTGTCAACCAAGCATCGCAATCTTCATTGCCCAAACAGGTCAATGACTGTCTCCGTGAAAAATGAGGAGGAGCTATAGCAATGTCTTGGTTTCTTCACTTTACATTCTTCAGGGGGAAGGTCCTGGGGGTCAGCCTAGCCTGTGACATATGAACTTCCTTATTGGGATGGCACCGTGACACCACTTATGAGCGCAGACTCTGAAGCCACACTGTCTGGGATCAAATCCTAGTGGCCACTTTTTAGCTGTGTGACCCTGAGTGTCACTTAACCTCTCCAAGTTTCAGTTCCATCACCCATAAAATGGTACCTATCTCGTAAGTTAATACTATATATATAAAGACCTTCACAGCGGCTGGCATGTAGACCATGTTAGCTATCGTATTTTTTATTACTTGTCCAGGTATGTCAGTGTAGCTCTACATTGTGAAGTAGAAAAAAAAAGTTACAGAAAAAGTCCCGATTCTCTGCTAGTCTTAAGAGAGGTTTCATTTGAAAGCGCTGAGCATCTTGCTGTGTGCTAAAGGATATTGGGGGCAAGGACTGGTCCTCATTTGAGTCAGGGCTGTCTTCTCCTTGTGGGGAAGGCCAGTGACAAAGTCGCTGACTCAAAATGGGGAGGTAAAATTCTGAGTTCAGCCCCTCCTTACCTGGAATGATCCTCCTTTCCGTCCACACTCTGTCCAAGGGCCAGTTCTGCTCTCACTCCCTGCAGTCCTTCCTCTTTGTTCACATGTCTGCTCCAGCTTCAGTGTCTCCCCAGGAGCTCCAGGAGGAGAAAGGCCCTGTCTGTCTTGTTCACCTGTGTCCCCAAGTTACAGAGATGATGCTCAATAAATGTTGCTGAATTGAAATGAAAAGGAATAACTTAGATTTTCTCAAAGGAATATGAGTGGAGCTAAGGTGGCCCAGTCAATCAAGGGGTCAATGAAGAGTTGTGAGTCTCTGGGAAGGGCAGTGGAGAGACTTGATTGAGGCTGGGTCTCATTTCCTCATAGTGACAACCACAGCTATTCTTGGGCATCTGTCTCATCCTCAAACATGGGAAATCTGGCTTTCAATGACTGACATACAACCTGCACATTTTAAATATATTTTATTAAAAAAAGAAAAAAACAAACAAAATGCCCAATCCAAGAACTCTTGGTTCTGGGAGTCTGGGAGCAGCTTAGGTCTGTGGCGAGGGCAGACCCTGGAAGACAGACGGTGTGGGGACCTCTGACCCCTGGATGAAGAGCAAGAGCCTGGAGAGGCTGGTAGACAGAATGGCCTTTCCCCAGGGCTCAGCCTCTCTTTGTGGCTTGGGCTCATCCACTTGGAAAAGACAAGTGGGGGGTTCAAACCCCCGAAAAAGGCTGGGTGGACAATTCCGGAAGGGCCTCAGACCTCTTGTCAGTCACCAACCAGTTAGGAAGGAGGAAAGGGTGGCCCGGGGCTCGATCGGGCCTATTAGCACCCTCCCCAAAGGTGGAGTTCAGCCTACTCTAGGGAGGTGGGCTCAGACAGGGAAACGCACTCCCAAGTACTGCGCGGGGCTCAAGCTTCTCGGAAGAAGAGGCCCTGATGAGGCGGGACCTGGAGACAACCCCAGGCCGGACTCCTGGAGCTCAGTGACCCTGGGGGCCACGGGGCAGCGCCCGGATCGGCCGAGGTGGGGGATTGTCCAGGACCGGTTCGGGCCGGGGCCGCACGCCGCCTCGACGCTTCTGCTTGCGCAGCAGGTAGTTCGAGTATTGTACCTCGGGCATGGCTAGCTTGAGGCAGGCCTCGGTGGCTGGTCCGGCGTGGCCGCTGGGCAGGTCGTAGCCCATGATGTCCACTTTGCGGCTGGGCTGCCACGGCTGCAGCTGTTTGGTACGGATCTGTGCAGCTGGCCGCAGCACTGGCTCGTCGCCGAAGCAGCGCCGCAAGAGGCGCTCTCGGGCCTCGCGCAGCTCGCGCGCCTCGCGTTCCACGCAGGCGCGGCCGGCGCGCGCCACGCGGCGCCAGAACGTGGCGTTGAAGTGGTCGTAGAGACCGGCGTCGAGTGCGTTCCAGGCCCGCGCGGCCCGCGCCAGCGCCATGGGGATGGAGGCCAGGCGCGAGCTAGCGGCGCGCGCGTTGAGCTTGGCGTAGAGCACGTCGTCCAGGTCCCAGGCCAGCAGGCGCCGCAGCAGCACGAGCGACTCATCGAAGTACTCGGCGATCATGACTAAGGAGAAGACCTCCTCCACCTGGCGGATGAGGCCCGCCAGGTAGGCGGCGTCTTCGTGCGGGCTGCGCTCGTTGTCGCCGCCCAGGTCGTAGGCCAGCGTGTTGTGCGCGAACATGGCGAAGTGCTCGCCCGCTCGGTAGTAGGCCTCGGGCGCGCGCAGGAAGGCCTCGAGGGACGCGTTGGGCACGCGCCGGAAGGCCGGGCAGTACTGGTTGTAGTAGCTGAAGAGCGACTCGAACATGGCGGCTGGCTCGCGCAGGATGGTGACATAGACGGTGTCCGGCGGCATGAGACGCTCGAGCTCTTCGCGGTCGAAGCGCAGGTGGCTGGCCAGCACGTGCGGCGGACGCGTGGCCGGGTGCACGAAGTGCGCCGAGAAGTTTCGAGGGTAGCAGAACTGGTGCTCACAGCTCGGGTGCGGCAGGGCCACCGTCAGGTTGTGGCGCTCCGCGAAGCGGAACAGGATGTTCTGCACGGTGGTGCCTGCAGTCTTGTGCGTCTTTAGGAAGGCCACAGTCATATGCTTGGGTCGCGGCGGCGAGTCCCGCAGAGGCGGGCAGCTCAGAGGAAACAGCTTGGGGTACCTGCAGGGTACAGGGAGGAGAGTGTGAGAGGTGTGCGGCTTGACTCCTGCCCCTTCCCAAGGATGTTGGGATGGGCCACAGAGTATCTCTCGGCTTTACAGAGCAGTAGAGGGGTATGGTAGGCGGCCCCTAAGATGACATCAGTGATCCCTGCGGACCCTTTGGTATTCATGCTCTTGTGTATTTCCCTCCCCTTGAGTATGGGCGTCGTATTGATGCCTCTAAGGAATACAATAGGGCATAAATGATGGATGTCACTTGGCAGACTACATTATAAAAAGACTATGGCTTCTATCTTGGAGTCTTTCTGTCTCTAGGATAATTCATGCAGGGGAGAACAAGCTGCCATACTATGAGCAGTCTTAAGGTGGGGGGGGGGTACCATGTGGCAGCAGTCCCCAAGGGACTGGCTCTTCAGGCCATCAGCCTGCTTGAAGAACTGAAGTCTGCCAACAACCACATGAGTGAGCTTGGGAGTCCTTTCAATCAAGCCTTCAGATGAGATTGCAACCGCATGAGAGACCTTGAGCCAGAGGTGCCCAGCTAAGCCCCACCTGGATTCCTAACCCATGGAAGTGAGATTATAAATGTTTGATGTGCTCAGCTGCTAAGCTTTGAGGTAATTTGGTTACACATAAATCAATAATAGAGGGACAAAGGCCCTTGGAGATCCTTGAGGAATTCTGTTCTACAGATGTAGAAACTGAGGACCAGAAGGAGAAAAATCATTTACATAAGTCTGGCAACTCAGATAAAGTCTCCAAGTTTTCTTACTATCTGTCTTCTTTCTCATTTTTACTTTTCATTGGCTCCTCATCTTGTAGATGAGTGGCATGGGCTTTGAGACAACCGGTTTGTCATATGATTCTGTTAAGGCCTCTGGAGCTACATTCAGTCAGTCAATATTTTTTCAGCATCTACTGTTCTAGGTTCAAGAAATATGATAGTATAAAAAACAGATAACAATCCTAGTCTTCATGAAGCTTCATTTCTGTTTCCTTTTTCCTGAAACAAGGGTGTTTGAAGTGACAGGTGACCTGTAAGCTCCCTTCAGGCTTTGAGTTACTCATTCTCCTGTTTCTTTTCTATCCTAAGCATAATGTAATGAGGGCAACTCTAAGCAGCTTTAAGAACACCATTGAGATTTCCTATCTGTGGCTTATTTGGGCTCAGGATAATGTCTGCACAAACGCCCCTTCTAAAGACCAGCAAATCATCCTGCAAGGGCGACTGGGCCCATTCCCACTGTTCTGGACAGACCATGTAGAAAATGGGGAAGTTGAGGCCCTCAGGGGTGCAGGGATTTGTTGGGCTCACAAGTGAGCCTGGAGTAGGGTCAGGGCTCCTATTAGTCATCACATGGTATCCTTTGCTGGGGTGACTAGCTGGGTCACATATACCAACATTTTACAGTTGAGGAAACGGGGGCTCAGAAATGAGGGGATTTGCCCAACACAACAAGAGTAGTGAGAAATTGCAGTCCTTTCAGGAGGCACCCCAAATGTGATGCTGTGGGAAGGACTTGGGCTGGATGAGAATCCCAGTTTAGTCACTGACTGACTATGACTTTAAGCAGGTTACTCAGCCCTCTCATTGGAGATCAGACCCTGCCCAGGGAGGTTGTGTGGCTCTACAGAGAATGTATGGAAAGCACTTTTAGGATAGAGGGAAGGAACAAAGTCCAGCAGAAAACAGACTGTTTGGCAGGTGCAAACATGGGGAAGAAGCACTCCCAGTTCTGGCAACTGACTGCCTGAGGACCACAATTCCCCTGGCCCCGCCCCTCACTGAGGCCCCGCCCCTTAACCAGCTGCTGAGCTGTGCCCCCTGATGGATGAGAAGGCTCAAGGTGCTGCACCCTAGCACCAGCAGCAGGATTTTCCTGCGGCTCATCTTGGTGGCCTGCTGCAGGCGCTGGAGGATGGGTGGCATGATGGGGTACCCACCCCTGGACCAGCCACGATCTCGCTATCCAGGACTCCCTTTGCCGGCACTCATGGGGGCTCCTGAGGCTCTGGTAGCAGGGCCAGTGTTCCTGAGAGGCCTGGCAGGAGAAGGAGGCAAACAGGTTTGCAGTGGGCAGAGATGGGCTCTGAGCCCCAGCGGTCTGCTGCAAAGGAGAGCTCCAAGGAGTGGGGTGAGCAGAGAGGCCAGGGAAGATCAGATTCCTACCTCCCGTCACCAAGACCCTATCTCCACACTGCTCCAGATAGCTTAGTCTTGGGTGGAATTACAAGCTCTGGGGTGTGGCCAGCCCTTCAAGCTGTAGCCACTCCCTCTGTTGAGCCCTGTCTCTGCTTCTGTGCCTGCCCCTAATTTGTCCTTGCCATTTGTATCTGCCTCCCCAGTAGACGTGCCTCAGCACCAAGGCTTGAGTCAGCACAGAAGTCTCAACCCAGGGTTCCCCCTCCTCCAGGACTCCTTGCCTGATGGTGTCAGCCAAGGGTTAGTCTTGACTCCCCAAACACCGAGCTCCTCAGAAACACTGACCAAGCCTTCACCTTCTCAAGCCTCTGATAGAGGAAAGGGGTCAATACTACAGGCTTACTATATGTACCATACTGTCCCGTTTAATCCTCACCTCAACCCTAACATAGGTATTATTCCCACTTTATAGTCAATGAAACTGAGGCTCTAAGAGATGATGCCCTTGTCTGTGGCCACACAGCTGGTATTAGCAGAATCTGGATTCAGACCTGCTCTTTCTGGCTTCAGAGTCCATGCCCTGAGACATGTGTGCTGCTTCCACAGAGAGCTGATTTCCCCAGCCTACCCTGGACTGGGGCACTTTTGCATGCTGCTGAGACTAAGTCCTCCTATCTGGGCTCCTGCCCTGAGGGCCCAAGACCAGTAAATCCATGAGGGAAAGAAATGAAGGACTTGAAATCCTGGAACCCTATCTGGATTCCATCCCCCGACATCTGAAACCCTGGCCACCCCATCAGCTGACTGCAGTGAGAGGTGCCTGGCCAAAGCACTGGGATGGCAGCCTGGGAGGGGGGCAAGGGTGTGGGGAACGCAGAGGGGCTCCTGCTGGTTGCCTGCTGAAACTCCTGGAGAAGGTGGGCCTCCATCCCAGGTGAGTGGCAGCAGTGAGAGGCAGAAGGGCCTGGTTCCCGGCCAGTTACCTGTCCCCACACTGGCAGCCCAGCCCTTGGCAGCTCCAGTGGAAAGTCAGCTTCAGCAGCTAGGGTGGGGTCTCTGCCCCAGGGGCCTCAGTCTCCAGGTTCGGGTTCAACTTTACCTCATATACACTCCTCTCCAGAGGGGAGGGGGAGCCTGGAACCTTATGGGCATGTGCATGTGTGTGGAACTAGGACACCTGGGTCCCAGGGGAGATGAGGTAATGTGAAAACTTGTTTGACCATCACCTTCCCTGGGGACCCTGGGCTTGGCTTCCAATTCCTCTCCCCCCTCCCCCCCTCCAATTAATCCTGGATTATATTTAAACCTGTTTGGGTGTAAAGATGTCCTGGTTATGCCTTTCTCTTTTTTCCAGGCCCCATCACCTTGCTTCCTCTACCAGCTTGCAGACAGACTTAATCTACCTGGAGCCATGGGGGGTGAAGCGTCCAGCCATAGAGGACAATCAAGGGCATGGTAGAGAAAGTCCAAGCCCCTTCCCCCCACACCCCTTTCTTTTCAAGGTTTGCTGGGGCAGAGGAGGTCTGGCTCTGCCTGAGTGGGGCAGCCTCCAGGAGGAAGTCAGAGCCGAGGCCCTCTCAGGATGCAGGCCCTCTTCCCTTCATCACTTATCCTGCCTAGAGGACTTGGTGACCAGACAGGAGTTTCCAAAGGGGCAAAGTGGGTGGCCAGCCTATTTCCATTTTTGCTAAACTCACTGAAACCACCCTGTTTTTCAGAGGACTCTGGGTCAGCCAAAGAGGCCAAGCCTGTGTGGAGCTACAATGGGATTTTCCCTGGGAAATGCTTCAACCAGGCCACAGAGAGAAGGGTGATGGGGTGCTTGGGGGCCCCCCATCCCATTCCTTTTAGTCCTGGGAAGCCAGCCAGCTAGATCCCAGTGTGACACTCACTTGGAACAGGGCATCAGCAGCAGAAGAATTCCCTGGGCACCAGCTTCTGCTTGGCTACCGTCAATGATGGGATGCTCATCACCTTTAGATACAGCCTGGTCCATTTCTGAGCATCCTTGGCTGTTGAGTAGTTCTTTCTGGGCCAGCTAGGATTCTCAGCTCATCCCCTTGTACCCTCCACTCTGCATGGTTGCTAGTGTTGCCCTTCTAGACCACACAGACCATTTTTCTCTATGACAGACCTTCAGTTATTTGAAAGCCGTAACCCTGTCTCCTCTGGGTGGGCCCTCGGCTAGGCTAAACATTCAGGTCCCGAGAAAGGGTGCAGCTCGGACACTGGAGGTAGCCTCCCTCCCCTCGGCAAGTTCATGCCCCCGGTGCCTCTTCTGGAGATGGAGTCAGGGCACGGGCAGCCAGGAGGGGCTGGGTTTCCCTCTGTAACCTCCAGGCTGTGGGTGGCAGCCTGCTGGGGCCAGGCATTGGCTCCTGTCCCTCACATGCTTCAAACTACTCCCCGGCTGACCCTGTGTCTTCTCCATGGAGAGAGTTTTCCTCAGCCGTCCCAGGCAGGTCAGCGTGCCCAGCCTCATCAGAATATCAGTGCTAATTTTAGTCAGAACAATCTACCTCAGGCTGCTGCCTGGTTTTGCAAATTGCTTTCCTTTCTCCAGGGAACCAAAGAAGAGATGGTATAGCTAGCCAGAGCTTGGATAACTGGCCTGGATGCCCACCCACTCCCAAATGAGCCCCCTTCTCTATCCCCTCCAAGCTCTAGGGCTGTTATTGGTGCATTTCGAGGAGGAGGGCGCCCTGGCCTGGACCACCCGGACCTGGGACCTGACTGGTGGCTGCCCCAGAGACTCCATCCTTGAGGATGGCACAGCCTAGTGAGTAGGGAAAATGCCCAGGGCACTAGAGAGGAAGGGCCAAGGGCTAAGGGGCTGCAAATTCGTGTCCCAGGACATCAAATATCTTTCCACTTCCCTCTTTTTCTTTTCCCCCAGCCTGCACCAGGTACCCCCCCTCCAACCCCCTTTCCCTGAGTTCCACCCCCACATCATCCCTGCCTCTGAATTCCCCTCACCTCCTTCCTCTATCACTACCCACCTCCCCCCAACTCCTCATTCCCTCAGTTTCACCCCCAACCTCCCCCAGGGATCTGTCACCAGGATCTGATCACCACAGGGGATAGGCCAGATTCCCCCTCTCGCTCTGTCATCTCCTGCTCCCTAGGATGCAGAATGCCCCCACCCCTCATGCTGTCCAGGCTCTGGGCCCCCACGACACTCTCTCGCCCACCCCTCGTCTCCCATCCTGGTCGGGTCTACCCCGCCCCCAGCCCCAGGTCGGCCACTGCAGTACTTACCGCGGGCTCTGCCTGCGAACCCGCTGGCCGGTGGTCGCCACTACCTCCCAACCCTTGTCCTGAAATCTGCTGCGGGTCTGAGGGCGCCGGGGCCCTGCGCACGAGTGCCCGTCGCTCCCCTCTCCGCGCCTGGATGGGATCAGGTGGCGGCGTCCGCTCGGCTTCGCTCCTCTCCGCTCAGCCCGCCGCCCGCCCCCCATCACACACCGGAGGCGGGGCGGGGGCGGGGGCCCAGAAGCAGCGCAGGGGAGGGGGAGAAGAAGGAGAGCGGGAAGGGGAGGGGGCAGCCCTGAGCGGCAGGCTGCCGATGAACATTCTCTGGTGGTGTCTTCGGATGCGGGCATCTTCCCCTGACAACCTTGCTGATTCTGGACACCAATGTGACCAGCTCCTTGTCCTCCCTCTACAGAAGGGGAAACTGAGGCGGGGAAGATATCTGGACGCTCCTGCATTGCTGGGCATTCCTGGGCCCCACTGGTCATCCTCGGGCTGGTGGGTCCTGGGGGAGTTAGACACACAGGTACATTTTCAAGCATCCACATGCTCCCTCCCTTGTCTCCTCCTCTTCCACCTCCAGCAGAGAAGCACAGCTCCAGCCCTGGGTCTGGTCCTATCTGTCTTCACACCCCTGGGGACCCCTTCCCTTCCAACCTCTGAGGCAGCCCTGTGCTGCTGACCCACCCCCACTCTCCACCAGGACCCCGGACCCACTCATTCTTGTCCAGAGCCTTAGTGGGCCTGGGACCCCTGCCCAGGCACTTTACCTGGCCTGGTTGCTTCCAGCTGTTTGATGGGGAGCTCTTCTGAGACTGCAGAGATGAAGGCTCATTGTGAGCTTCTATGTGTGGGCAGTGGTCTTGAATTTTCTACTGCCTCCTCAGTTCTCATCTCCTACCACCTGGGAACTGGGCAGCAGCACCTCCCAAAGTCACGCCAGACACCAAGAGCCCCACATTTAGGTCTATGGTTCTCATGGATCCCTGCTTTCTCCTATCCTTTTGGTCCGGTATGATGAGGACCGTGGAGCCGGGACAGCCACCCAAAGCTGGGACTGGGTTCCGTTCTAGACCCACACAGGTAGATATTGTTGAGGAGAAGGGAATGGAGACACTCAGAGTCAGGAGAACTGCTTGTGGTCCTAGTTTGGCTCCTTGGGCATGTCAGCTTCTCTCTGTCCCCTAGTCTTCCCATCTGCACAATGGGGGTCCTACCCTGCCTGGACTGTTAAGATAAAATGGGGCCTCACTTGTCCTGTCCCTTTCTGGCCTGAGCTACACTAACTCCTCACCCATCAGTCCCCTTAGTTTATCCTGCTTCAGAGATACCCAGCCCCTTCCCCAGCACATACGCAAGCCTTGCGGCTTCCAGCCTCAGATGACCTGCCATCATTCTCCGGTTACTGGGAGTAGAAAGACACTTCCTTTGTGTCAGGAATGGTTCTGCTTGAGTGGGCTGACAAGCTGGAGGAGAGGGCACCACTGTTCTTCTGTCCTTTCTGGGTTTGTCTTCTCTGGGAGTGTCAGAAGACTGGGATAGTGGTAGTGATAGAAGGGGGAAGGGCCAAGGTTTGGGCTGGAGTGAAGAGAATTTCCTAGCGAGGGCTGGGATATGAGCAACCTTCCTGGCCCAGTCCTTCTCTATCTCTCCTAAACCTCACCTTTCTTGGATCTGGCACTCCGTTCTTTTTTCACTGCTCCCAGCCATTTCTATGTTGGAGACAGCTGGTGAAATGGAGCATGCTAGAGAGATCTGAAGGGTGTGGGTGTGTGGGGGAAATGAGACCATTTCACTTGTTTCTTGGCTCTCACCCAGTGCACGCTTACTCACACTGACACAGGCAGTAAGCCTGTCAGTCAGAGGACAGAGCTAGAATGGGAGAGGGACCTCAGAGCTAGTGGCAGAGGTGGGGAGAGAAACTGAATTGAGGCGTCAGGACAAGGAAAGGTGGAAGCTGCATTTCTCCCTCGATCACACAGGCCACTGGTGGGGGTAGGGGAGGATGCACGGCAGGGTCGACCCTCTCGCTAGACTGATGGGGATGAGGGAAGAAAAGGTACTGAGTTTATTTTGGAGACTAAAAAAGACGCAAATCCTGTCGCTGGGAAGCCTGTTCCATTCACTTCTCTCCCCCCCCCCCCCCCATCATTTATTGAGCATCTCTTGAACGCCAGGTCCCGGGGCTCACGTTCTTGGGGATGGAGGTAGGAAGAGGCAAGAAAGAGTTCAAGACAGATGGTGGAGGTTTGAACGTATTATGGCAGCTCCAAGGAAGGAAAGGTAAACAGGGGAAGGCTTAGCGGAGACGACATTTGAGCCGGCCTGGAAAGGTGGAAAAAGGGGCTTTAGTGTGGCCCTTCCCCCAGGTCGGCAGCTGGAGCTCAGCCCGTGTGGGTCCGCTCCTCTCCCGTCTCCGATCCCCTTTCAGCGCATTCATCCACGCCTGGGTCGGGGGTGGGCAGGCAGACAATCAGACACTGTTTTATCACAGACATCGGCTGCAACTTCCCGCTTGGCGCCCGCAACGCTCGGCCGCCGGGGAATGAGTCCTTCGGGACTCCTTGGGAACGTAAGCCTCCGGGCCTCTCACGCCTGATCAGGGAGTCGGGCCGGAAGGCTGGCGGCCTGCGCTCCGGCCGGTCTGACGCAGAAAATAAGCCCTCCGGGCGGCACCATCTTTCCCCGCAGACCCGCTCTCGCTCCAGCCCCCAGTGTTCCCGGTCCAGTGGCCCGGCGCCGTCCTCGGGATCTTGGACCTGAGGAGACCGTGACCTGCGTACTACAACTCCCAGAAGGCTTCGTGACCAAGCTGCCTAGGGACCATTGGAGAACGGCAGGGGTGGGCCTCTAGCCTAACGGCCTTCCAACCCTGGAGAGGACGTGGCGTACGGCGCTGCCGGAAGTTCCGGGAAGTAGGCCGAGAGTCTGGGCCGAGCTTCCGGGTTGGTCGCGCGCCTTTCTGCGGCTAAGATGGCGACCGAGCATCCCGAGCCACCTAAGGGAGAGTTGCAGCTGCCGCCGCCGCCACCTCCTGGACACTATGGCGCCTGGGCTGCCCAGGAACTTCAGGCCAAATTGGCAGAGATCGGAGCTCCGATCCAGGGTGAGGAGCACAGGAGGTCAAGAGCCGGCAGCGTAGGCCTGCGGGGAAGCGAGCCTGGTTACCCCGGAGACCCGGGGGAGGGGGGCGGAGGCAGGCCTCTGGGGCCTGACTAGGGCCGGCTGGCCTTCTAGGCCTGACCTACCCCATTGATCTTGTGCTTTGCCCAGCAGGGAGCCGCGAGGAGCTGGTGGAACGGCTGCAGACCTACACCCGTCAGGCAAGTGTTGGCGGTGGGATGTCAGGATAGGCCGAACTTGTGGAGGAGGCTTTCATGACCCCTCATGACTCGGTGTTCATTCTTTGTGTACCTCGACATAGCAAGCGAGGCTTGCCCTTTTTGCCTATTCTTGCCTTTATCTGCTCTGTTACAATCGCTGCTATACATATTGGTCCACCCCAGTGCCCAGCCCGAGCTCTGACAGACAAGCACTCCATGAATTTTGTGGAATGAATGGTAGCCAGCGTCGTTTAGTGAAATAGCTTCTCTTGGACTGATCTAGAGTCGTTTCTCTTTTGCAGACTGGCATCGTACTGAATCGGCCGGTTCTGAGAGGTGAAGATGGGGACAAAGCTGCTCCCCCACCCATGTCAGCACAGGTGAGGATGTTGTTCCACCTTACAATAAGATCCTTTCTGCTCAGGGTAGCCCCGCCTCTCACATGCAGTATACTGGGGATGCAACTAGCAGATTGGTCAGGTAGATACTGCAATGACAGAGCTGGGAGCTCTTCAAATCTCCTTTGGTCCTGATCCTTGCCTCCTTCCCCAGTGTCAGCTCC